GAAAGGTTTGTAAGCCAGCTAAGTTTGGGAAACACTGCCCCTGACCCCTCACACCCTCGCTGGTCATTTGGGCCCCTAGGCTGGAGTTTTCAGGGTAACTACCACACCCTCCGTGGCTGTCCCCCATCCTCCTGACTCTCTCTGTGAGAGAGCCAAGAGCCGACACTCAGGGCTGGAGGCGTAACGCTCTCACCTGACTCGAACGATGGCTCTGCCTTGTGTCAGATGCAGGTCTCTGTCACATCCCTAAAGTGCCTCTCTAAGCTGGGGCCTGAGTCTCTAAGTTGGGGCCTGGATCTCCAACCTGGAGCCTGGGTCTCTAACCTGTGGGCCTGGGTCTCTAACCTGTGGACCTGGGTCTCTAACCTGTGGGCCTGGGTCTCTAACCTGGGGCCTAAGTCTCTAACCTGTGGGCCTGGGTCTCTAACCTGGGGCCTAAGTCTCTAACCTGTGGACCTGGGTCTCTAACCTGTGGGCCTGGGTCTCTAACCTGGGGCCTAAGTCTCTAACCTGTGGGCCTGGGTCTCTAACCTGGGGCCTAAGTCTCTAACCTGTGGACCTGGGTCTCTAACCTGTGGGCCTGGGTCTCTAACCTGTGGACCTGGGTCTCTAACCTGTGGGCCTGGGTCTCTAACCTGGGGCCTAAGTCTCTAACCTGTGGGCCTGGGACTCTAACCTGGGGCCTGAGTCTCTAACCTGTGGGCCTGGGTCTCTAACCTGGGGCCTGAGTCTCTAACCTGTGGACCTGGATCTCCAACCTGGAGCCTGGGTCTCTAACCTGGGGCCTAGGTCTCTAGCCTGTGGGCCTGGGTCTCTAAGCTGGGGGCTGGGTCTCTAACCTGAGGCCTGGGTCTCTAAGCTGGGGCCTGGGTCTCTAACCTGAAGCCTGGGTCTCTAAGCTGGGGCCTGGGTCTCTAGCCTGAGGCCTGGGTCTCTAACCTGGGGCACCAGCAGCCAGTGCGGTTCCAGATGAGATGAGGCCTCAGTTCAGGGAACGCAGAGTGACTAAGGACAGGCCTGGTGAAGAACTGCTCAGGAGAGAAGATGAGGTGGTGTGCGGTGGTGGCACAAATCTCCAGGAGAAGATGTGGTGGGGGAGGGGGGTGTCGGTGCTCACTCGAGGTCAGACTCTTGGGCAGCACGGTCCTGTCCTCAGAGGATGCGTTTCCAGCCAGGGCACTGCCGGCCGAGCCTGTGGGCAGCGTTGAGCATCTGCATAACTCCAGGGGGTGCCACTCCCACTGCCTGTGATCCCTGCTGGCTCCCGTCACATGCCCTCTGCGTCACCTGCCCTGCCCTGCCCCTGCCCAGGGTCCTCCCGCGAGGCCGCATCTGTCCTGGTTTCTGGTGGAGGAAAGAGGCCATGGGACGAACCCGCAGGTGCTGAGGGGGTGTGTGCGCGTTGCCGTTTCGTTTTCACAGAGGCCGACTCGGGAACTAAATGCAGTTTGGGTTTGCTAGAGACTCAAAAGGAGATGCTAATTTTTTTTTTAAGAAATTTTCCCCCCATTTTAAAGTTCAGCTCTATAAATGAAAACACAATTATTTTAGGTGTCTCTTGGGTCCGTTCCCCAAAATATCTAGACACGAAGGCACAGAAACTAAGCCCAACCCACTGGCTCCAAAGAAATAAAGACGCAGTTCCAGGCTCTGTGCCCGCTCCAAGCCCCTGCCTGGTGGGGCTAATTCAGCCTCCCAGAGCGGGTCCCCAGTGGAGCCCGGCCAGAGACAGACCCCCACCCGCCTCCAGCAGGCAGCCCGAGGCCTTTACGCTGAGAGTGAACAGGGTGCTGACCAAGCACGCAATCCACGATGAACAGGGTGCTGACCAAGCACACGCTTACCCGGATCAACCCCCAGCACCACAGAGTAATCTGTGACCACCAGCGGCAGCCCAAAATAACAAAATAGCCTTCCCGTCCATGCCCTCCTTCACTCCTTGATCTTCACAGTCCAGCCCCTCGCTGCCAAGAGGGAGGGTCAAGGCTCATGTTCTGAATCCACGACCTACCCCCAGCGCGTGCGCGTGCACCCCCCCCCCCCCCACACACACACACAGAGTGCGCCAGAAGCACTCTGGGCCTGCAGTCAGACCCTGACATGAAGGGATAAGCAGCCCTGGGGAAGTGGAGGCTGGCCAGCGACCTCAGAGCCGCAGGGCTGCCCGGGGGTCCTGGTGAATGTGCCCGTGCTGACTCACACCCCCAAGAGCTTCCCTGCAGCTCCTCCAGGGCCCCACAGGCCAGTCCTGCAGGCTCTGGCCGGGCTGGGCACAACCCACCCGCCCCTTCCTGCCGCCTGGGGCCTTCCAGAATGGCCGGCGGGTGACATGAGTGAAAGCGTGTCTGGAGCCTGTCTGTGCTGTCCTCACACGGCCAACTCTCCCGCCTCGCTGCTGCCAAGGGAGTACTGAGGGAGGAGCACTCCCTGAAGCTGCCTCTGCCAAGACACACACATGCATGCTCATACATGCATATATGAGCATGCTCATACATGATCACAATACTCCTACACGCATGCTCACACACATCATACATGGACACACGTGCGAGCTAGCTCACCCACACATTCATACATGCACACTCACACACATTCTTACATGCACTCACACACATTTATACATGCACGTTCACACGTATATTCATACATGCAGGCTCACCCACACACACATGTGCATGTTTACACACATTCATACATGCTCACCCACAGACACATTCATACATGCACACTCACCCACACACTTTCATACATGAAAGTCCCGGTCCAGCCTCTGCTGCCCACCCGTAACCTCACCTTGAACAGCGCTGGCCCCCCCCACCCAGCCCTCCGGAGGATGAAATAACCCGTAACCAACCTTAGCAACCCCAGCAGCGCTGTCCAGGGACTCCTGCCCCCTGCCCATCCACCAGCAGAGGCGGAAAGACCTGTCCCCAGGGGATACTCCTGGCTCTGCGTTCAGGCATTGCTCCTGGTAGTGCTCTGGGGACCATATGGGAGGCCGGGGATCGAGCCAGGGCAGCTGCATGCCAGGCAGTGTCCTCCCACTGTCCTGTGCCTCTGGCCCAGGGTGGCCCACTTTTGCCTGGGGTCCCACACTGAGTTTGAGGAAACGTTTCCAGTCCAGCTATTCTGACGGGTGGCGGGGCCTGCTCTGGCCTGGGAGGGAGACCCAGACACCAGTGGTCAGGGGCACCGAGGGAGGAGCAGTGGGGAGGGCTGGGGCCACGCTGGCTGAGTGATGAGTGAGTGGGGGTGAGGCCGGACACTCGAGCCGCTGCCCGCTGGTCCCCACTGGGATCTCAGTGCCAGGGATGTGGGCGCAGCTCTGGGGAGGGAATGTTCCATGCACACGGCCCAGCTCCCTGCAGGAGGCTTTGGGGAGCACTGTGGCCGGAGTCCTCCAGGCTTCCTTCTGAGCAGAAGCCGAGGGCCGGGATAGAGGATGGGACACCTGAGGGGACCATTGCTCTGCCCCCAATCCTGGCTGCCTGCTCAGGAACTAAGGCAGACCCCACTTCCGGGGCTGTGCTGCTCTGCTAAATAAATGCCTGCAATTGGGTAGCAGAAACCCGGGGTCCTGAGCAGCCCTGCCAGCCCACGGAAGCCAGAGTGTGTGCGTGTGCGCGTGTGTGCACGCACGCATCCCCCTGACTGCCAGGCCTTGCAGATGGGGCCATACCCTTGTTCATGTAACATTCTTCAGGGGCAGTCCCAGAACCTTACATGTCAGTCAGTTCTGAACCCAGGAGTTTGTCTTTAAGGGCGCAGGCAAGCGCCTGAACCCCTGGGACAAAGGGTCTTCCGCCAAGTACCCATGAAGAGAGGGCCGCAGAGGAGGCCACTGCCCCCAAGGAAGGCCAGGCGACCGGTGGGGGCTGCCCCGGGTTAGGCCACAGCCCGCATGGCCCCTGCTTACTGCAGAGCTGGCCCAGGACGAAGCCCTTCTGCATCCTCTGGCTTCTTCATTTCACCCCCCTCTGGGACACTGTGGGCTCCGAAACTTGTAACCCTTGTAACCCGCGGGCCCCCAGAGCACTAGGGCCTGGCCAGGAATGGTTTGGGGGGCGGTGAAGAAGCCGGTCCTTTCTGCTGGTTTGGGTGCTGCCCGGAAGGGGGCGTTGCCAGTCCCCCACCTCTGCCTTCCTCCCCATTCCAGAGAGAGTCTCTGCTCTACCTGGAAGCGCCCACCCCACCCCGGCCGCGTGCACGAGGCTCAGACCCCTTCGAGAGCATGCAGGAAGCCCCGCAGAGCCCCACCCCTGGCCCGCCGAGGCCCCCGGGCTTCCAGGACCCACCAGCTCCCACGCGCCTGCCTCCGAGCTGCGGGTCCCACCGCCCCAACTTGGAGGGGCCGCGGGCCCTCGCACGTGGCGCCGGACGCTGGAGGGCCCGCGTGGGGCACGGGGTCGGGGGGCCGCGGGCGGGTACCCAGACCCCCAAGCGGGCGTGCAGTGAGGCCCCCAATGGCGAGGTGCACCCGGGGGCTCCCCACCGACCTCCTCCGAATGCCGCGTGTGCGCCCCCGCGCCCCTCCCCGCGGCCGCCGCCGGCCCCTCCTCCCCGCCGCCGCCGAGCCCGAGCGCGTGGACGCCTCTGGGCGGGCCCGGCTCCGGTCTGGGGGGCGCCGGGACCCGCGCGCCCCCAGGAGCGAGGGCGCCCCCCGCGCGGGCCCGGGGACCGGCCGGGCGGGGCGGGGCGGGGCGGGCGGGGCGGGGCGGGCCGGGGGCGGGCCGGGGGCGGCGCCGGGCCGGCGAGGTGCGGGCTCCGCGGCCGCCCACCCTCCGGCCGGGCCCGCCCCCCGGGAATGCACTTCCTCGGGGAAAGTGTGTGGGGCGCCCGGGGCGGGGTGCGGGGCGCTCCCGGCGCAACCTGCTCCCGAGCCCGGGGCCCCGCGGCCCGCGGTCCCCGTCGCCCGCGGCTCTGAGGGTCAGCGCGGGGCCCGCCGGGCGGGGGGCGCGGGGCGCGCGCGGGGGGCGCCGCTGACTCTCCGCTTCCCCCAGGACTCCCGAGAGGATGGGATGGAGCTCGGCAGCGACGGCCGCAGCAGCGCCAGCTCGCGGTCCAACTCCGCCAAAGTGACCCCGTGCTCCGAGGGCCAGCCCGCGACGTCGCCGGGGGGCAGCCTGGACCTGGTGTCGGCGCTGGAGGACTATGAGGAGCCCTTCCCGCTGGACCCGCACCCGGGCGCGGACGAGTGGGCGCCGGGCGAGGACGGCGAGGACGGCGAGGACGAGCGCGCGGGCCGCGGGCACCGCTGTCCGGCGCGCGGGCCGGGGCCCGTGAGCGCGGGGACCCGCGGCGTGGGCGGCGGCGCGCGGGCGCCCCCGGCCATGCGGCCCCCGGTGCCCAACGGCAACGCGCCCCCGCACGACCCCCGGGACCTGGGGCACAATGGCAACGTGGTGGCGGCGGCCGGCCGGCCCGGGGACCCCCGCGGGGCGCCGCAGACGCCCGGGCCGGCGGACGGCGGCGCCGAGGAGTCCCCCGAGCCCCCCATGGACTGGGAGGCGCTGGAGAGGCACCTGGCGGGGCTGCAGTTCCGGGAGCAGGAGGTGCGCAACCAGGGCCCGCCGAGGACCAACTCCACCTCCGTAAGTTGCCGGGCGCGCGCGCGCGTCCCCGCCCCGCGCGGCCCCGCGGCCCATTCATCCCCGCGGGGGGAGGGGGCGGCGACTCACGGGAATGGAATGACCGCGGACACGGCCGGTGACTCACGCTCCCGGGCGGGCGGGATGCCGGCCTCGGAGTCGCGGCTTTGTGTCCCCTCACCCCGCCCCGGGCGGGTCCCCCCGGCCGCCACCGGCCCCGGCGCGCGCGCGGTAGGGCGGATGCTCCGGTGGTGTCACGAGGGTGACCGCCGCGGGCTCTGCCCTTCCTCCTTCCAGAACCTACCGGCGGAGTGGGGGGGTGGGGGCTCTGACTCACGCCCCCCGCCCCGGGGAATCCCTCCCGGCGCCCCGGTTCTGGAAAGCGAGACAGGGAGGGGCGCTGGAGGGGGTGGGGCGCGGAAGCTCATCAGCTGGGCAGGTTGGCACAGGCCCGGGCATCTTTCAGGGGCCCGGAGGGGAGCAGAGAAATGACTTCAAAGAAAACCTTCCGGGGGCACTAGGGCTGGCGGCAGCGCCCTATTAATTGCTTGTTGGAGATAGAGCAAGAGTTGTCATTGGAAGCCTGGCAGCCTGGTTCATAAACGGCCCCGAGGGCTCAGGTTAGCCTCTGCTTCTGGGTGGGAGACCCAGAACCTGTCTGTCTGTCAGGTGTGATTTTTTGCCCCTCTCTGTGGGGCCCTGGGGCTCCAGGAAATTGGGCACGGGCCCCTCTGACTCTTGAGATGCGGTCAGCGGCCAGAGAAGTTGGCACGGTTTCCATCTGCAGTCAGTAGACAGCAGAGCCCTGTTGGGTGTCCCTGGAGAAAGCGCCTATTAAATCAACATACTCCTTTTCATGCCAGCTGTTTGCCAGGCCCCTTGCAGACGTGAGTCTTCCCGTGCCAGCCAGCCCCATCTCTTGTTCTTGCAAGTAGAAGATAGCCTTTTCCGGCAGGGCCTGGTTCTGCTCCCTCGACACGCCGGTGACGGGGAGAGAAAGGCAGGTTTCCTTCACGGTTGCCTGGCATGGGTGAATTCTGGGGAAATGGGATCAGCAGGTGCTCGGGCAAAGTTAGGCTCGTGATGGCAGCAGGGAGCTCCCGGAGTGTAAGTTATTCCACAGAACCCCACCGAGCTCCCGGGAGGTGTGTACCAAATAGGCGCTGTGCTGCTGGAATTAGAGGGGGTGAGTGGGGGATGGGTGCAGACAAGCTGGCCCAGGAACCGAAAAAGGAGTGACTCCCAACATGGCTCTGTCCCCAACACACACACACACACACGCGCGCGCGCGCGCGCGCGCGCATGCATGCGCACACACATTTTCAAGGCTCTTCATGGCTGGGCTATCTTTGGAACCAAGGTGTCTCTGCATCTGATGAACAGTTTGCCTGTTTGGGCTCCTCTCCCCAAACTGGCCCCATTCAGCGACCGTTAGGCCGAGAAACTGGGCCCCGGCGTCTCCAGAGCACATGTGTGTGTGTGCAGAAGGAGCGGTGGGCTTTTGGGGTTCCTGTTGAGCATTTTCTGCTCCGGGCTGTGTTGGGGGACCCTCTGAGGTCCAGGGCCGTGTTTATCGGCGGTCAGAGGAACAGTGGAATCCTGGTGGCACTTTGTGGAAGTGGCTGTGGGCAGCTTGGATTTGGGACTTTGGAACTTTTGTCCTTGTTTTCAGGCTTTATGGGACACACGGGTGACACTGTCAAATGTCTTTTGGGGCCATGTTTCTCGGTGATCGGCTGCGTCAGACTGAGCCGTCCTGGAAGGTGGTGCTGTGCGGTTCTTTGAAAGTTGGGTGTGGGTTGAACTGGGTTGGGGGCACCCTGCTGGAGATGTGACATGAGAAGGAGCCACCAGGAGGAAACCCCCAGGGAGAACCCTCTCCAGATGGATCCAACCCTCAGCCCCCCACCCCCTCCCGTCTGTTTTCTTAGCTCTCCTCACAACCTATTAACCCATTTTTCATCTCCCCTCACTGTCCTGGGGCTTGCCCATTTGGTGCTGTTTATTTTGTTATTTTGGGGTGCTGGGGTTCGCCTGCGTTGTACTCAGGTGCTTGGGAGAATTTGCCATGCCAGGCCCAGGCCCAGCGCACGCTGGACACACATGCTGGACACACAGGCCGGACACGCCCTGGGGCTGGTCTCTCCATTCCCAGGCCTGCTACCATGTCCTGGAAGGAACGAATGAATGAGGCCATGGATGAGTGAGCGAATGAGTGATGAGTGAATGAGTGAAAAGCTGACGTGTAGGAACGGATGAATGACTTGCAGACTCTCACCCCAGACCTGGCCAGTGCTCCCCTTGTAGAACTGAGAAAGTCCAGAGACTGGGGGGCAGCCCCACGGCCAAAGGAGATCCCAGGAGGGGGCCCGTCCTCTCCCTGATGCCAGAGGGGCCATTTCTTCTGACTCCGAAAGTCACTGAAGAAAGTGAAGTCAGCCGGGAAGGAAGATGTGCCTCCATCCTGGGGGGATTCAGGGGTGCCTGTTCGCGTCTCCAGAGGGGTCCTCTCCCCGAGTCCTGCGGGCACCCCTCTGTAGGCTCTCAGGGGACTCGGGGCCCACGCACGGACCTCCAGCCCACCCTCACCAGCCCAGCTCCAATCTGTCTTAGGCAGATCAACTCTGTGAAGGGCTTTAAGCCGCTTACCTCTCGGAGTGGGGCTGGGGGGCTGGGCCTCCAGATGTCAGAAGTGGGGTGTCCATGGGCCCTGGGAGCAGGGCTCCCTCCCTGCGCCATAGTGGGCTCTGCCCCCCCTCATTTCTCAGAGGTCCAGCCCAGGAGTAGGACCCCCACCTTGCCAGGCCCACCCTTGCTGGGCCCTTGCGAGCTAGCCCGTGGCCTTCCAGGGCCTGTGTCCCCCTGGGCTCCTCCCGCCAGGCTCCTGTCCCGCCTGCTGTGTCGCCGGCCACGCAGAGTTTAGAGCAGCCTCAGACATCCCCACTCACGATGCTTTGCCCCCAGGAAGGTCTCCCTGAGCGCCCGGAGAAGGTGTGTGAATTCGGGCCACGAATCACGCAGCCCCTGGCCGTAAATCACAAAGCAAGTTCTCGTGCAGCGTGTTGCGGAAGTTGGCTCGGAAGCTGGGCTGTAGAGCCAGGACGATTCAGAGTCGGGGCCTTTGCCTTGAGCTTCGGTGGGTTTGGGTCCCTGCACGTGCTCAGCCTGCCCCCGCTGCTGGACTGGGCCCGGCTTCTCCCCCAGCTTCCCGAGACCCTTGTGTGTCGGGAACGGCTCTCCTGCCCTCAGAGGGCCTCCAGACTCACCCCAAGTGGGGTCCCCAGGTCCTCTCTTATTTGTTTTGGGACACCTGGGGTGCTCTGTCTCTCTGGCTCTGCTCGGGGACCCCGTGGGATGCTGGGGCGGCCAAGCGGCATCAGCAGGCTGCCTTCACTGTATCCCAGAAGGACTCTCTCGGGACTCCCACCCCTTTCTCTCAGCTGGGGCTCTGGGTGGCCCAGGGCCCTTTGCGTTGCATCAGTTCTGTCGCAGGAAGCTCCCCTCCCTGCCCCCAGTCACTCCTGGATTCTTTCTTCTCTTCTTTTGACTCTCCTAGTTGAACAGACTTGGGAGTTCGCTGCGCCTGTGTGTGTGTGTGTGTGTGTGTGTGTGTGTGTGTGTGTGTGTGTGCGCGCCTGTACTCACCCCTGAAACTGCCCTCTGCATATAGACCTGAGTATCTCGCCCCCCAGAGTGTCCACTTGGCACGCCCTGGCCTAGCCCTGGGCAGCTGGGACGTGTTTCCAGCTCCTGCAGGTTGGTGGCATTGGCTGACCGGGATGAGGCAGGGGGAGCTCGGGGCAGGCCATCACTCGCTGCCCTGTGGGTGGACACCCGGGTTGCTTCTCATGGTAGGTGATGGCCGGTGGAAGAGCTGGGAGCATGTACAAACTCTACCCCGCCCTCCCTGAGACTCTCGAAGGAGCGGCCCCTTGGCCATGGAGGGGACATCTCAGTACACCATGGCCCTGGTCCACTCCCACTGTCACTCTGTGCCATTGTGTCCTAGGGACCCCAGCTCCCCTCTCCCAGGGATGGGGAGACACCCCCCCCCCCAAGAGAAAACAGAGAAAGCGGAGAGACAGCAGTGGGTAAGGCCCTTCCCCGCGCATGGACGAACCAGGTTCAATTCCCAGCACCACACACAGTGCCCTGTGCCCCCTCAGGAGTGAGCCCTGAGCACAGAGCCAGGAGTGACTCCTGAGCACAGAGCCGGGAGTGACCCTGAGCACAGAGCCAGGAGTCAGCCCCAAGCATAGAGCGAGGAGTGAGCCCTGAGCACAGAGCCAGGAGTGATCCTGAGCACAGAGCCAGGAGTCAGCCCCTGAGCACAGAGCCAGGAGTCATCCGCAAGCACAAAGCCAGGAGTCAGCCCTGAACACAGTCAGGAGTGACTCCTGAGAAGAAAGAGGAAAGAAAGCCCCAGCCCCGCCGTACGCCCCCCAGCCCTCGCACCCAGGCTGGCAAAGGCCCCTTTCACTCCCCAAGGCCTCCTGTCTGCAGGAGGGTGTTTTCTTGCCTTTTTTCCATCGCTGCCACTGCATTTAGAGGCCGTGACAGGTGTATTGCTGGTTCAGTGAGGGGTACGGATTGGGCCCGGTCACAGGGAGGCTGCCCTCCGGACATTCATCCCCAAAGCACTTGCAAGTGACTTGTCCTCTTGCCGCTCACTGTCCGGTGGGTGCAAGTCGCGGAGCATCTCACACAGGCCACAGCTGCTCTCTTTGTGAGAGCAAAGAGACCATGCCATGCCCCGCTGATGCAGCCTGAGTGGGGGTCACTGGGATCAGCCCCCGAGAGTCACCTTCCCAGGCCTCGTCAGGTGCTGGCGCCCGTGTCCCTCACTGAGAGGCTGTCACCGGTGACACCTCTACTCACCTCTGACCTGGAAGTGCTTCCTTGTCGCCTTTGCCCCTTGGCAAGTGTCTGTGGATGTTTTAGTTTGTGTGTTTGCGGGGTGAGGTGCTGGGCCACCCCTTGTAGTGCTCCGGGCTTACTCCTGG